GGCAGCTAAGAGAAAGGCAACCTAAGAGGTGGCAACCCAACTCCTGAGGGGGAGGACAAGTCTGCCCTTCACACTCCCCAACACACACACACACACTCTCTCTCTCTCTCTCTCTCTTTCTCTCTCACAGATGCCAGCCAACTATTTGCTACTCAGTGTAATTAAGTGCTTAATGTCTAATTACCAACAGCCTTAGCTCTGGTCCTAAACTCAGCCTAATTTTGTAGAATCTGGGCCCCTTTCCTCCCTGGCTTGGTGGTGGAGCCCAACTCTTCTCCCAGCCCTGAGGGGCCTGGGCCAGACCATCACTGCCCCCTCCACTAGCTCTTTAATTACAGTTTTATGTGGATTGATCTTCACATTAACAAGCCTGTAAAGAAGATTGATTTGCCCCTCTTGTTTCTAGCCAGTTCATCAGGCACATGGAGAGTTAAGTATTGATTTTACCCCCCCAGCAGACCCATCTAGAAGAGCACCATCCTTCACAGCATCAGGATCCCTCATCTGCACCCAGGGCTCCTTCCACTTAACTCGCTCCGAGTGGGGTCACAGACAGGACACCAGGTTTCATTCCTTCCAGGTTTTATTCTCCGGAAGTTATAATAAAGAGATGTTAAATATCCCATCCTTTTTATTCAATCAGTTTTTCTTCAGCTAAAAGAGCAAAATATATAAACTGTGTACTTAGATCCACCTCTGATGTTTTTATTTAAATGATTCATATCCCAAGTTTTTCAGGTCCATTTGCTAACATGAGTGAAAAATTCTTCCTTCAAAAAAACATTTGTTTTCAGATTAGCGATTGCCAGGGGCTGGAGGGAAGGGCAAAGGGAGGCCACTGCTTAAAGGGTATGGAGGTTTATTCTGAAATGAGATAGTAGTGGAAGTTGTACAATGCTGAAAATGAAGTAAAAGTTGCTGGATTGTACATCTGAAAAGCGTTAAACAGTGAGTTCTATGTGATGTTACATTTATCTTATAAAAAAATAGCTAATTTTTTTTTTCCAGATTAGAAGTAAAAGGCACTTCAATGCGTTTCAAATATAGTATAAACCCCAGGGATTTTAATAACAATATTATAAAGTCACGAGTAATAGGGTGCAACTAATCTTTGCTTGCTCACCTATCTGGATCTAGGCCAAAGGTAGAGGGGAGTGGGAACAAGGCACAGTTAAGGGACAAAATCTTAACTAAACCACCAACTGGAAAAGGTTACATGGATAATGCCGAGGTCCATGTAGGATAGTTGCTAGTAAATGTGCAGGAGACTGCCCTGCTTTAAAAATGAGGTTGATTTTACAGCAAGTTCTTTTTCTCCTAGGACTAAAAAAAAAAAATCAACCATTTCCCCTGTGACCAGTCTTCACAATGATACAAGTGCAGTAACACCACAGGAAAAGAGGAAATTTTTCTTCAACAAAAAATGCCATTTATGCATCAGACAAAATTACTGTTGTCAGGGGAATTGTAACTTGAGTTTCCTGGACTTCAAATTAAAAAAATTCAAATATAAGAATCCATGAGCAGATTTTGCCCCTGTTTTACAAAAGTCTGTTTCTTTTTCTGAGAACTATTTTATCAAATTAGGCCCCTCTCACTTCAACCCAATCCTATTAAAAGCTTTCCTTGAGTTTTATGCTTTATTGTTATGAAGGACAAATGGCTTCGGCATTATCCTCAGAACACGATGCAAATAAATCTGCTCTTTGACAAATACTTTAATTGAATTAAGTCCTTTAATCAGAAAGTATTAACCAATTGAAATTCTACTGAATGACTCCAGTTTCCAAAGCACTGGAAAACTGTTTTGAAGCCCTGATATCAAAGCCATATGCGAAATTAACCTGTTCCCACGAGCCCCCTGCCAACCGTGACACCCAGTGAGGGAGGGCACTGGTGTCCGGGGCCAGAGGAGTGCTGCAAGCAAGAAGCAAAGAAGGACGACATGCAGGAGACAGGAAACCCACACAGAGATGAAGAGCCAGCTTCCAGAGGCAAAAGTCCATAATTACAGGTGTCTGAGTGAAAACCACAGACTTGCTACTTGTGCTGAAAGAAAGAAGCTGTAGTGGTTACAAGATCTGGGGGATTTCTTGTGTGACATTGTTGCCTATCGCTACATCTCCAGGTCTTAGAAGGAATATGAAAACTGAGAGGAACACCTTCAGCAGCTGCTTCAACCCCTTCATTCAACAAATGAGACAAAGGCAACAGCATCCCAGGTCACAACTTCACCAGAGACAGCACCACGTATATGCTCTGTATTATAAAAGAGCCCTCCCCCTGCTTTTCCCTGACACACCTGCCTAAGAAAGTTTCCCTGGCTCTTTACACTTGGATGGCCTCAGCCACTTCCTCCCTTTGCACATTTTATTTTTCTCAAGTCTCACCTATTCACAAAGGGAAGATGAGATGGGAATAAGAATTTGGATACTAAGGACTAAAAGTACAAACATTCATTGAGCTGAAGAACTGCCCACATTTGCAGTGTGTCCGGGCTTCCTATGAGTGCCTGAATTCTCTCAAGGTTAGCCTGGAACAGCCTTGGCCCTGACTGCAGGGGCATAAAAGGTGCCTAAGTGTTTGCTGAAGATGTGAGGCCTTTTAAATCTGTGGTCCTGAAAAGCCACATATTAGCAAAACATGCTCTTTGGAGCCTGAATGTTTGGAATCATCCTGGGGATGAAGATGCTAAGCCTTTCACCTTGGTGGTCAGGGTGGGAAGGTGAGGCTCACCTGCTGCCCAGGTTGTCATTTTCTTCCTTGCCCTTGCACAACCCACTTGAAGAAAATATAGAAAGGCATGAAGGATGATCATGAAATTGTTCATACACCTGCTACCCAGATGTCACACTGCTTATCTATCCTTGCATGCATTAAATCCAAACATCAGGGAACAAGGCCCCTCAAGAGAAAAAGAAGATAAAGACCCTTCATTTTCTGTAGTTTAAGAGAAATCACTAACCCAGTGGGATGGAGACCAGCTTTAAGCCAAAAGGAGGGTCTCCCAGGCTAACCTGCATTTTCCAAACTGAATCAACCCAGCTCCGGTTTATATATTTTAATGCCGTCTAATGAAACAGCAGGAACAAGGCCAACCAGTCCCACTGTTCCAGGCACTGGGAGCAAAGAACAGAAAGGTATTTTTAGTAAGCAGAGCAAAGCGTGATTCAAAGTACCACAGGTCCTCAGGGTAAGCTGGGGTCCCTGCCCATCTTTGGCATGGGTGATTCAGAGGCACCTGCCAGGTTCTCCCATCCAAGGCACGAAGGTAAGATAGCAATGCATGGAAAATGTGGGCACCTCAGTTCCACCTCTCCATCTCACAACTTACAGGAACCCAGGAGGCTTTGATTTCCCGCTGATAAAACAAAGGAGGAGCAAGGGGAGTGAACAAGGGGCAAATGGCTAGAGGACCTTATCAAAGCAGCTCCTGATCCAGCAGCACTGGGAGGTGGCTTGAGACTGCATATCTGATGAGTGTGGTGCTGACAGACAGGACACGGCTCGTCCACTGGCTACAGTTTAAGTGGCAAGGTGTTCAGAGTATATCCCAGTGCTTTGTCATATGGGCATATGAGGGATTATCATGCCCCTAATTAGCCTAGGGTAAGAGAAACTAATTTAGTTTGCCAACAAGTAAACACCTTCCAGATGCTGGCACACAGACCAAATGGTTACAAAAGTCAAGACACTTGCCTATCTGTATGCAGACACAGTACCCCAATCTTCATTCCATTTCTCAGGAACAAGGACTGACTCACAAATCCTGTGGCCCTAAAAGGGACATGCTGCCAAAGCGCAAAGAGCTATGTGACTATCAGCTGCCAGCCTGAAGCTGCAGCCATCACTGTGTCTTGCATGATATGCCCAGGCCTCCCTATCTATTCTACTCTCCAACCTTCAGGTCACACTCCCCATATGTAAGATGAGTCAGGAATGCTTTCTGTAAATGAGGAAGATGAGACCAAGAAAAATGAAGCTGTCTGACCAGGACACAGAACTGGGCCACAATTTTAATGTCCAGTTCTCCCAAACCTCTAGAAAAGGTTTAGCCAAGACGCTGGTTCACAAGGAGGGAGTACCTATTGAAAATGAGGCCTGGAACCAATAAAACCTGAGATCTGGAAGCTACCCAGGCAATCTCACTGATGACCCATTCCTGCTAAGTACTATGCTGGCGTTGAGGAAAGATATGAACAGGTGAGCAAATGAGGTGTAACGCCAGCAAAAATCGAAATCCAATAAAAATATGCAGGCCTGCAGTGGAAACAGGAAATTCACTGGGGCAGAGGTGCTCTGCTAAGGAAGCTGCTAATAAAATCTCGGGTAGAAAGTGGGGTTGGATTCACTACTGGTTTATCTGGAAAGACGTCTGGGTGAGTTGAAAACAACTGAAGAAATGGTGCAACTCAAGGTACCTGACTCCTCAGCAATGGTTCTTAACAGCTCAAACCATAACAACCTCCATTTAATTCCCTTTATACTTCTTTTTATTTCTAGTGTGTTGTCTGTAATAATCAGCAGGTTGTCTATTGTTAAACACTTGACCATGAGAATTAATTCCTTACCTCTATACTGTTTCCAGAGGCCTAAGGGGTATTTTCTTTTTTAAAGCCATAGAAGTAAACTGAGTCACGTTACCAGATTCACTGGCACAAAGTTGAGCCTGCTGTCTTCTAATTCACAAAAGCTCCCTTTAACTCCAGTTTATTCACCTAACTTGCAGGCTGACCATGAGAAGCAAGAAATCTGGTTCTGTACACCTCTGCACCTAAACAGAACTATTTTCCCTCCAGATGAGAGATGATGCAAAACTTCCATCTGTTAATTCCACAAACCCCCCAACAAGTACAAGGGCCAGCTGTGACACCCATGAAGGCTGCAGTAGGAAGACAGGCCACTCTTCAGCAGCAAGCACATTTTCTTGCCACCAGTGTCAGCAGGATAATCCCCCAGTCTCAGCAAACAACCCAGGTTTACCCAATGGCACCACTTACAGAAAGAGGGAGACAATGTGAGGAGAAGCAGCACCCAGGGATGGTATGGCCGTCAACTCATTGTTACTGAGGAACCTGTAACAAGAAGAAGAAAAGAATCATTTAAATTAGTAGCTTTTTAAAAAATATTTTTTAACATCATTTTTCATTTTTGCACAATGTATGCATTTTCATCTTGGTTATAGTCCCCATACAATTCCCACCCCCCTTATTTTTGACCCTAATCCCTCCTCCTGCCCCGTAGTGTGTCTCTGGTTTATAGTTGCTTGTTGATTTTGATTCTCACTTTATAAAATAAATAAATAAGTAAATAAATTAGTAGCTGAAATGAGATATACACCAAGGGGGTGGGGGCAAAAAACCCACTGTGCCCAGTAAGCCATGCTAAGACTCCATTGTAATGCTAAATAAAATATAAGAAATTTAAAAGTGAGTTCTTAAAGGGAGAAGAGTCACGTGAGGTCACAAAACTTACATTGTATCACACCCATAGTTCAGATATGATTTAAGACTCAGAGGATGTTTCCAGTCTTCCAGGAGCTTTCATTAGCTCAGGAATCAAGACTAACAGATAAGGGACAGGGAAGAATGACAAGAGGCAAGGCCTCCCCAGTGGCGCAGCGGTTGAGCGCTGGGTTGCGAAGCTGCCCGCGGCCTCTGTGGCGCGCAGACCTCTCCTGCCGCCCGCTGCTCCCCTCAGCAGTGTACTTCGTCTATCTGCCTATTCTGTTCCCCGCTCTGGCTCTGGTGAATTCTCTCACCCTCCCGTGCTTCTGACTGTACCCAGTGCTTGTATAAATAAATAAAATCTTAAAAAAAAAAACGACAAGAGGCACAGTGCAGAAAGAAAATGTCCAAAAACCATATATAAGAGCACTACCTGTGGGCTCAAATAGTCAGAAAGGATTTGAGGAGGAAAGACCATCCCCTCTTACTTGTTTTAACTGGGCTGTATAATATGATAGCCCGCAAACCACAGTTCTGTTCACAAACCCCACCCAGAGCCAGATACCCAATGGCACAGGCGGATTTCCAAAGAAGCTGGGACACATGGGGGCAATTATTCCAATATTGCATCTGTGAAAACACAGGGAAAGTGGACGTGCAGATACCCATCTGAGATTCTAGCTTCTCTGAACTCTGATGAAGTCTCTGGACACATTTTCCAGGAACATATACATATTTGCACACACATTTTTGCTTACAGACACTCCAAAAATCTTGTATAGACAGAGATGCTCTCCAAGCTCCCATTCTGCTCAAATATTCTACCTCTGTATTTACTAGTTCGGGACTCTTAATGGAAGGGCTAAGCCCAAGGACTAAAATGCTGCTTGCCTGATCTGCCCCAGAGGCTTTGTAACCTGGCCTCCTTACATGGACACGTAATTCCAAATCTGGGAAGTGAATGCAAAATCAGACTTGTGCAGTCAGCCCAGAAATCCGCAAGAAAGCCAAAGCACAGTGATCAGGCTTTCTGTTGGGTGACAGGCTATAAAGAAATTGTATCTGAGATGCCAAAACAAGGGGATAAACTGGGGTATCTTATTCTCATTTAAGAGTATGTCTTGCATAGAACATCTTGTTACTGTTTGAAGACAAGGTCACTGAAATGGCAACTGTGTCCATACAAGTATAGAACTAGCATTTGCTTGAATAATCTGGTTGTCTGCCATCTTTTTTTATAGGAAAAAAAATGAAGGAAAGGGCGTTGAATTATCCCATTTGCTTTCCTCAGTGCCAAAGTCAGTTAGAGATGAAGCTTGGCAATTATTGGGCTGTGGGACACAGAGTGTCTGTTTCAATAGCTTCATGACTGAAGCATCTGGCAGAGAGAAAGCAGATCCGTATCATGTGGCAAATCCTTTCTCCACTTAAAGGGCCCTTGTTTATGTGGTGAAGTAGACAATTAATTACTTTAACAGTCTCTTATCTGACTGCACCCTAAATCAGATTGTTTCTGCTTCACCTTTTATCTCCTCCAGCCCTGCTGTGATCCATTTCCCAGCTTGGCATAGGGATCTGGTATTAGAGATCTCCAGCAGTCTTCTTCTCTACTAATAATTTTTCACAGGCCCATCAGTGTACTTATTAGAAGAGCCCCTCAGATAGTATCAGAGCAAGGAAAACTAAGTTCAGGGGCCTGAGGCCAATAGGCAATTTAGTAAACTCTAAAAACTCTTCATTTCTTACAGAGTTATTCTAAAACATAGATAACAGTGGCCATAAAAATAACCACAGCAGTTAACACACTGTGCCAGAGATGACTGCAAGAGCTTTTCAATGTATAAAGTTATCTTCAGACCCTCAGAGGGTGGAGGGTAGTCCAATGAAAATTCCCACTATACCAACAATGAAGTTTAAACACTGAGAGGGTAGATATTTAATGAAGGCACCAGCACAAAGTGGCAGCGACCCAGGGAGTCTAGGTTCCTAATGATTACTCCCTATTTTTCTATACCTTCAGCAACAACTCTACTTATGTAACTTCATTCTAACTCTTAATCAGGTCCCAGGTACTACTCTTGCTTCCTATCTTGTAGTTAAGTTTTCTATGTCAAGTTTTGGTCTGAGTCACTAGCTGGGATCAGCTGAAGAGTAGCACAGGCAAGAGGGAAACCCAAGAATGGATCAGAGGCGAGTGACAGCAGAAAGACCAGCAAGCTGGAAAGCTCACAATTCCCTGGGTAACGTGGCAGTTGTGTTTCAGCCTGCCGAGGACATCTCTTAATTTTAAACCCAAAACACACAGCATGGACTTCTCTGCAGGGAACTTGTGTTGAAGGAGTGGTCTCAGTCCTACTGCACACAGGACACACTACCTCTCCGCATTTCATAGAAATAAATGAACCAGGGAAAGGGGCACTGAGAGTATTTCAAAACTGCTGGAAGCACAGGTGCAGTGGACTACTGCTAAAGATAACCAGGGCATTTTACGTCTGGATCAGTAGCCCTGAGTCAACAGATTTAGGCAGAAATCTCAGGCTGAAATCTCAGCAGGGCTAGCTAAAATGTGAAGAGGACAGTTGGAGTCAAAGGAACAGAACTGCACAACCACCTTACTTCTACATCATTTCTACTTAAAAAGAACCGCCAGCTCAATCTGTTGGTTCCACCACTGCTGGCACTCTCTTTGGTTGCTCTGTCCCCTGTCCAAATGAGAATGTGATCCCAGGGAGGCACAGAGGCCTGATTTGCTCTGAGACATGACCAGCTTGCCAGACTGAAATAGACTGGTCAAAAATAGCACAGCCAGAGCCCGGAGAGAAAGGGCTCAAGGGAGGCTTAGCACAGTTCCTGAGAATAATGAAACCTTAGGAATTTATGATAGTGTTAGATGAAATCTTTGGCTATCTGGGGTTGTCTAATCTTCTTCCCTTCTGGCTCATCCCGAATTTATTTCCATCCAAGGTCCTAAAAATCCTTCTAAAATGTCTGGCCTCTCTAATTGAAACTTTTCCTGATGATTCAGAACCAAGAAGTGCCTCAAAGGCATCAGGCCATGAATGATGAAGAGTCACATGTAAGGTAACAAGGCTACAGGACCTGGGGCAGAATTGAAGAGGCCTTTCCCCTCTCAGCCCTGAGGTCAGCTCGGGTCTTCTGGGCCGTCAGCTTTCTCCAGAATGTCCATTTACTTGGCTTGGTGAAAGGAAGCTTTTATATTGGGCAAGATACAAAATGCTAACAGGGATGTTTTAGAGTATTATTAACAATCAAATCAGGCTTCAACAGTATAAAACAAGCTCATGCAGTAACTTTGGGCCATAGTACTTTGGGATTTGGTGCACCATATTTATTTATTGAATAGCTAATATAAGCACACAACAGAACTTGCAAACTTTAAAAAAAAAAAAAAAAAGAACACCAGGAACACAGAGTGAAAAGTAAAACCTCCCCATACTTCAGGTCTCTAGTCTGTCCCAGCAGGAAGCTTCTGCTACCAATGATGACAGGTGTGCACATCTCCTTCCACACAGATGCGTGTGTCACCCAGAATATTCTGTACTAGTGTTCCTCTTTATGATGAATGCCGTAATTTTTTTGGCCAGCTGGGGAGTGCTCTTCTTCTGGTTGAGATGGCAAGGATGAAATACCACTTATTTAGTCAGTCCAGGACTCGAAGGCATTTTGGTATTTTCCAAACACAAAGAGAGCTGTGATTTATAATGGCCACATTTGGGCAGTGACTTGGAAATTCAGTTGTTTTAATTTTTAAAGGGAAAAAAGTCATCTATGAGACATGGGCACACAGGTTTTAGGATTGAAGCCATTTGATTGATACTTGGTATTAGTGTTTCTAGCTATCTAAGAATAGAGAACAACACTTCGGCAAGTTCTGAGAGATACAGTTTCTATACCACATAATCTGATATAGTTTTTTTTATTTTTTTTAAAGATTTATTTATTTATACAAGCACTGGTACAGTCAGAACTCAGGAGGGTGAGAGAATTCACCAGAGCCAGAGCAGAGAGCAGAACAGGCAGACAGACGAAGTACACTGCTGAGAGGAGCAGCGGGCGGCAGGAGAGGTCTGCGTGCCATGTGGGACCCTCGCCCAGTTGCTGGGGATGGGATCGAACCGGCGCTGCAGAGGCTGAGGGCAGCTTCGCAACCCAGCACTCAACTGCAGCGCCACCGGGGAGGCCCTATAATTATTTTAGTATAGAATAAAGTTGCTTAAGTTAGCAATTTTAAGCAGTAATAATAAAGGTGAACATGGGCCATGTTCTGGGTTCTGTGCTGAGAGCTTTACACGTAGCATCTCAATGAATGACATATCAACCCTTTGAAGAAGGGACCAAATTATACACCACCTTAAAAGAAGAAATGAGGCACAGTTAACAGAGCACCCAATCAGGGCCAATCCACAGCTTGGATTTTTAAATCAGTCAGCCCTGGGTTCGTTCAACCCCAATCCTACCCCTCACAACTGAATGCCGTCAGCCTGTCACTTAACCACTTAGTTGCCTTAGTTTCTTCATGCAAAAATGATAAATAATTCAAGAACCAACTTCACAGGGTTCTGGCAAAATCCTACTGAAATAATTAAACCTAACAATTCAGGATATAGCTAGATAATAGAGTAAATGCTTAACAGGTGGTGGTAATTCACAGTCAAAAAGCAGTGCATCAAAAGGACACCCCCTTGTAATTTTACCCCTCCCTTAAGCTCTCCCTCCCACATACTGGAGGGAGCATAAATCTCACCCAGAGGAGAGTGAACCATAAATACCCACAGGCAAGGCACACTCAGGCTTCCTTGCCGCCTTCATGAACATTTTAGGTCAATGGCCCTGGAAAGCACATGGCAGCACCCACATTGAGCACACTCAGGCCAGGCAGGAGTAATGTGATCTGAGTGCAGTTTTCAAAGGCGGTGGTATAAATAGCCCCTTATTAATACAGGAGCCTCATTGCCCAGGTCCTCTGGCTAGAGACCATCCCTGGTGGGCTTTCCTCAGAATTGTGGGCAGCAGAGACCGTGTGTCTTGGCAGCAGTTGCGCAAGTATCTTCCTGCCTGCCTGGGGCATCCAACGGGCTCACTTTCTCTCCTAACTAGCCCACAATGTTATGTGGTTCCAGACCTTCAAAATAAAACCACGGCAAAACCACCAACCACTGCTCTGCCAGCCTGTGGTTCCCCTCTTGCTGAGGTTTCCAGACTTGGGTGGCTCTGCATGGTTTAGGAGAAATGACAGCTCCCGAGAAACACTCAAGCCAGTTTATTTAGAAGTAACTGTGTGTTGACTATGATTTTTCCTTTCTTCAATATCTTCCCCACTTCCCCACCCTGCACAAGTGACAGTAAGAATGGTGTTTAGCACAACAGCTGCTTAAGGTCAACCTCCATGAGTGCCTTAGCAGGATGGAGGCACGAAGTCACATACAAAACAGCAAAGAGCACAGGATGCACTGAGGAGCCTTCTCCTGCCTTTAATGCAACAAGAGATTCATGGAGGGAGAAAGGCCAAGCAATAGGGGAGAAGGGAAGCTGATCGGAGGCTAGCACGGGTCTGGACAAGGCATCTGGAGGAATGAGAGGCAATATTCTAAACCTAGAAGGCAAAGACTGATGTAAGAAAGCAACACAAGGACATCAACTCTGGATTTTCTTTTTTAAAATATTTAGCGGAATGTTGCAGGTTAAGATGTGGGAATTTAGGCTAGTGCAGCTTCAGGGTCAAATGCACAGGTTTTGGAATCAAAAGGATTTGAGTTCACCTCTCAGTTTTATCAACATGTAACATTGCTCAGGTCTATCTAACCCATCTGAGCTTCCATTTCCTCCTCCATAAGAAAGAGAAAAGTGTTGTAAAGAAAAGAATTTCTACCACAAAGTTTGGTGAGGAGTAAAGGAGGTAGCATTTGCCAAAGGTTTAGCACAGTGCTGTCAGGACTGCTGTGACTGTTAAGGGAGAAATGTATTTTTAGGTCTCACAACCAGCACCGCCAATGAAAGACAGGTGGAAACGAGATGCTCGCAGTTTTAGATCTGGGTGGGGTGTCAGCTCCCCAAAGGATTGGAGGTTAAGGGTGTCAAAGAAAATGAAAGCTGAAAGCCTTGGGAACAAATAGAACAACAGAGCTAGAATGGAAAATGAAAATGCTTGCTGGAGCATCGACCACGTCCCTAGCTGATGGGGAGGTCAAAAAACTGAGGCGACTTACTCCGCCTTCTGGGACCCATGTCGGGCTCTGGCCTCACACCTTGTGCATGCTGGGCTAGGTGGCCCTCATCCTGTCCTTACCTTGAGGGCCTATGTCTAGAGTCACTCCTACCTATCACTTTCACATGTGTTCAGACATCACCTCCCTGACTAACCTAGTTTCGGATCACCCCTCCAAAATTACAAAAAAAAAAAAACAAAGAAGAAAAAAATACCCTCACACTCCCTGTTCAATTCGCTCCTTAACACATATCTACACAGTCCTATCTGGTGTCCTGGTTCAGTTCACAACCACCCCCATCTTAATGTAAAAGTTGCAAGAGAAGAGTTTGGTCGGCAGGGCCAGGATGTGTGAGGAGGGCACAGCATTTATGGGGTGACCCAAAATTTTGGTGACCAGGCAAAAGAATATTTTAATGCAGTATTTCTTTAAACATTAAAATGAATATCAAACAAAATCCAAAAGGAAAAAAAAATCAAAGTTTTAACATCCAAACAGGGTATGCAAGAGTACTATTTCAAGCCATACTGAAACCCAAGGCAAAAGAAAATATCAGGAACACTGATCCTTTCTTCCTGTCCCCACTTAAACTTTTTGTATTTTATCCACATGGATTTTTTGCATTCATTTTGATTTTTTTCATATGCTGCATCAAAACATCCTGCCATTTTGGCACTTCTTAAATCTTGCACCTAAGGTGAGCACCTCACTTGCCTCACACTAGTCCCCAGTGTGTGTGTCTATCTTACTCTGGTACTCAGAGTTGTGCTGGCATATAGTAAGCACTCAAGTAAAGAGTAATCGAAACTTTGATGCCAGATGAAATACCCCAGCTGTCATTTTCTCCAATTCTAAATGAAAACACTAAGTTGTGTGACTTAACATACAGAAGTTGCATAGTCACAAGCATTAAAGACCGCCTGGTTATAAACCCAACCAGATTCTTCATGGACTGAGGTTATCATCTTCGGGGACTGGGTCCCCTTAAAATTCATATGGGGAATTCCTAACCCCTGGTACCTCAGAATATGACTTCACATGGAGACAGGGTTTTTATAAAGAGGTTATTAGGTTAAATGACATCATATGTATGGGACAAAATCCAATATGACTGGTGTCTTTTTAAGAAGAGGGCATTTAGACACACAAGATGCTAAGAACTGTGCCTACAGAGGAAAGGCCTTGTGAAGTGGGAGCAGCCGTCTCTAATCCAAAGAGAGGCCTGAGGGGAAATCAACTCTGCCAGCTCCTTGATCTTGCACTTAAAGTCCCCAGAACTGCGAGAAAATAAATTTCTGTCATTTATACTAAGTCAGTGGTCTAGTATTAAGATAACCTTAGCAAACTAATATCGTGACCTACTTCAAATTTCCTTACCGCATTTCTAGCTTGTCGACCCTACAGGAAAATGAAGGTCCTGGACAAAGCATTTCTGAGAGTCTCTTCTACTTCTGATAAACCTTTTTACAATACACACGGAAGTCATAAATGCCAATTTGAAGAATTTGGAGATGAGGGAAAGGAATGCAAATATTTTACAAGCTGTACCGGCTGATAAAATTCAATTCCTTTAGATAAATGGTCAGCAATGGAATCAAAAAAGAAATGAAAACTTTTATGTTAACCAAATGTTAAAATAACTTACCTAAACATATCTAACAAAATATCTAAAAACATGAGTACCAGTGAATGATCTATGGAATACCCATGTGTATTAATTTTACATAAAAATTAAATTTAAAAAATTTTAATTTACATGATAAAGTATTCAAAAGTACAAGGCTAAGTAGGAAACACAATACACTGGTTGATCCCCCAAATGATGGGTGTACAAGTATATATTTTTCATGAAGTGTTCATAACGGTTATGTTTGAGAGATAATCCTGGTGTTTCCCATTAGTCTTTATACACTTTCCAAATTTTCGGCAGTGAGTACCCATGACTTATGTAAGTTTCTGTCAAATCCCTAGGAAGCTAAAACTCCTGCACGATAGCCATGTTAAAAGCAGAATTCTTTACGTTAACTAGACAAGACCGAGGCCTGATTTAAAGGACACTGCAAGTGGCAGCAACTGTTGAGTTTCACAGACTCCAATGCCCAGCTACAGGCAGCAGGGGAAAGGTAAGCCTCTCTTGTCCATTTTCCTATCCAATGTCCCTGCTGAGCAGGCTATTCCACCTCCTTGGGAACTGTGGGAAGTGACCAGACAGGTGGTTACCTCACCTGGTCTACAAGGGACAGACTCTCCTAAACACGCACCCTGTACTGGGATTTCAGTAACGCCATACCTACTGAATTGTAACACAACTATCACTAACTGCCTAGGAAGAGAGGGACTGTGGTGACAGGCAGAGAGGTAAGTAGCCTGATTTGTGACTATGGCCTATACACAATGTTCCCTCCAACTAGTCTAGACTGCTGGTCCTGGGTAGAGAGAGATGCTGCAATAATAGAGCATTTCCCCAATAAATTCCTCAGCACCCCCACTGCCCACCCCCACAGGTTTAGGGGAAGCACTTACACTTCCTGTAGATTTGGCAAGTCCTCAAAATCAGTAGGGTCAATCTCAGAAAATTTGTTGTAACTCAGGTTTCTGGTAAAAGAACAAAAAAGGGGGAAAGGTAATTAAATCAACACTCAGCATTGCACCCCAAACTGAGGAATATTCTGCTTTCCAACAACAACAACAAAAAAAAACCCCAAACCTTCATTATTGTTCCATCTCATGCTTTAAGTAACCTTGATACTGAGATTTACAGATATACCCCCTCCCCACCTGCATCCATAAACAAGTCACTGAGAAAGTCTCAAATCACTGGAGGTTGGCTAAACCCCTTAACAATTTCTAAAGGAAGTCTATAGTATGCCAGTTCTCTCCCTACATTAGAGTGTGCTCGTCCAAATGCCATGCACCATATCAAATCCAAGGCCATCTTTAGTGGCATTTTTTTGTGATTCATGTTTTATTAAAGCAACAAACAATAAAGAGCAAGAGTAAAGACAAAGAGAGAATGGAGGACTGACCCTCATCTGAAAATAAGTGGCTCTCAACCAGGGATGACATCTGGCAAGGTGGAGATATTTCTGGTGTCACAACTACAGGAAAGGGGTTAGGGAGGTGTGTATTGCTACTGGCAGGTAGTGCATGAAAGCAATGGATGATCCTCAACATACTATAATGCAAGGAACAGTCCTTTAACAACAATCAATGGTCCAGCACTGAGTGTCAACTCAACATTAAGAGGTTGAGAAAGCCGGGTCTAAATAAGAACTTAATGATAAAAGTTGCTCAGATGTAGAGACAAAGTTGAAAGGATTGTTTAGAAAGAGAACAGTATGAGATCCTAATCATAAGATCATTGATGAACATGGTTTTCTTACCATAAATGAATAACCTATTAGGAATGACAGTTACACAGGAGACAGGAGCCACACTCGAAGGTAATTCCTGTTGGTATTGGCCAAAGTCAGTGAAGGTCACAATTAAGCAACCTTTGAGATGATAGCATCTGTCCCAATTACTCAGAACTACATCTTTTCCCCCTTCATTCCCCCAGCTCTGGCCCTAAAGGCAGAGGAGAAGCCAGCTGGGCAGTATTCAGCCAGCTGGGCTTCTCTGATCACCTCTCAACCCAGACCAGTTTCAAATTTCAGAAGTATGTTCAAAATAGGCACTTACTTCTCACTGTGCACTGTACCTTGCTCCTGACCACCAAAATCCACCCAGTCCTGTGTATCCCCTAGAGGTTAAGTTTTAATCTCAGCAATTAATTTCACTGACTTTTTGGTCAATTAACAGGACTACAAATAATGAGTTTAAAGCCTATCTCTTCGGCAGCATAACCTCACATAAGTGGCAACTCTTTTTAAACTTCCTCCAGAGACTTTCCAATCAATACTAACCTAGAGCTGATAGCCCTATTCCACTGTCAACTCAAGACATTCATCTAAATAAAAGTCAAACTACACTTGAAATTAATGGCACATCTGCTTTCAAGGCACAGCCTGAATTAAAAGCAATTTGTCCAGAGATTATGTTACCATAAAAACTGAAGGTGGTAATTTTTTAAACCACATACTGAAATCAAGTGTGAACTTGTCTTGCTTGGGGTATCTATGGGTATTCAGACATCGACAGGGTTGACCTGGAAAAGAAAATCTACAAAGGGAGAGAAGTTTCTTACATTGGAAAAAGGGCTAGACAGGTGAAAATTTTCTTCTATTGTGGGCACATTATCATGGAAAAAGGATAGAAATACTGTTTCTGAGTCTACAGACACTATGCATTTACAGTGACTAATGTTATATCATCATAGGTAATGGGAGCTGTTAAAAGCTGGAGGGGACATCAGAGAAAGACCTAGAAACCACAAAATCAAGAACCTAGAAGTCAATCTAGCAGATGTTCACCTGCCAGGTGTGGGATGAAGCCGAGAGCCTGCTGCCACTGATGGGTCCTTTGCTTCAAGCTCCACAAATAAGGGCAGAGCAGACCAGTCTTCTCAGTTCTCAAGAGAGGCGCAAACTCTGAATTCTTAGATGAAAGCTGTTCAATTCTTTATTTAAAAAAAAAGTCACCTTGGATGGGCCAAAGAAAACCTCTTTGCAAGGCTTTCCTGAAGACCACTAGCTTCTGATCAAGGTTTAAACTGAAGGACTCATTTCTGACTGACATATGTGGCCCGGTTGGGGCTGGAGCTCAGAGGAATTGATTCTCTGGCAATTAACTGGAGTTCTGCTCTGCACTACCTTCAAGAAAATCACTCCCCTTATTGCATCCCACAAGTGTCCACATTCTTCAGAAACTCAGTGTTAGAATAAAATCATTTTCAATCACGACACCCCTTGGTCCACCCTTCCCTTAGAGAGCAGACAAAATGTATTTACACTTCAAAAATGTTGTAGAAGTCCTGCTTTTGAAGACAAGGCTACTTGAGAAAAGGGTCTTCCCTAAGCTAGTCTTATCAAGAAGCCAAGTGTTATCAGGAATAACACTGAGATTCCAGTAAGTAGCAATAAAGATGAAGACAGCTTTAAGTGGAAACTTAAGCTTTTACTGGGTCAGTCTGGATGCAGTGACTTCTCTACTTTCAATGAACTAGAAAAGCCATATTATCAACATGCCACGGTCAGCAGACTGGCTCAAAAGAAAGTCTCCTTTATGGGTGCTTATTAGCAATACACAGAGAAGACAGAGTTGAAGCTTAGGTCCCCTGGAGCAGCTTTACATTTGGGCACAGAGATGCCTAGCTTTTAATTTTGAGAAGTGACTAGTCCTGAAACCTCGGGCAAATGGCTGATCATGTACTGCCTTCTTGGGAAACAGGGACAATATTTACTGTACTGTCCCTCACAAACAATCTAAAACAACACCCTCAAAGACATTTTCTTACTTGCTCCCTTCAGGGAGACAAACCCCTAGCACAATATATTTTTTATAGTGGGAAAATACATGTAACATAAAATTAACCATCTTAGCCATTTTTAACTGCACAGTCCAGCAGCATTATTGTGTCACTGTTGGACAACCATCAGCACCATCTATCCCTAAAACTTTTTTATTTTCTCCAACTGAAACTCAGTACCCATGTAAACACTAACTCCCCATCTCCCCTTCCCCAGGCCTGACAAGCTACAATCTACCCTCTGTCTCGAGGAATTTTAGTATTCGAAGTATAAATACATGAAACCATACAGTAGTTGTCCTTTCGTGTCTTGCTTATTTCACTTAGTATAATGTCCTCAAGGTTCATTCATGTTGCAGAATTTCCTTCATTTTAGGGCTGAATAACATTCCATGATATGTTTATTTTCTTTATCCATTCATTGGTTTACCCATACATTTTGTTTATCCATTCAACTGTTGATGGACATTGTTTCTATCTCTTGGCTATTATAATAATATGAACATAGTATTTACGAACATAGTTTTTCCAGCATAATTTTTATAATATTTTCTTTAATCCTGGACTGTATGCACACTGACAACATTCATTTCGCAAAGATTAGGGAAACACATTTACACTGCGCAGAGAGGGGGATCAACTCAGATCCTAAAAACAAGGGGTTAATCAGTGAAAAACCTTTAATGAGTCCTTTCTTTCAGGTGGCAGCTGACATGCACACAAATCTAAAGCATCTCACTTATTTCCACAAACACCGTGCACCCCTTACCAGGCCCGACATCTGAATGTGTCTTCAGTTGAAGGTTTCAGATTCTCCCGTCAAAACAATTCATCTGTCAGCAGGACAGATGCTGTCAAAAGCATTTCTGCACCTTTCAGTAGCAGAGACAGAGGAAAGAAACCTCAGGGAATCTAGTTACTGCCAATTGCAGCTTTCATTAAACATTTTGTCAGCCATTGTCATAACACAAATTTTCCCTGTTCTCTTACAAAGGGAGTGCAGATCTTCGAACAATTGAGCCCAGCCAAAGATATTCTTTCAGCTAATCTGCTGAAAGATGACCGTCCGGCCCACCATTTGCAGAACACACAAGAGGCACCTCTGTGAGAAGAGCTCAAATTTTATCCCAGTTTTATCTGTGTCTGAAAAGCATGCTGTTTAACAGTGTACAACAATCTGCTTGCTGAGCAATTTTCATGACAAGATTCCCTACCCCAACCACACAGAAATAGAAGAGCTAAGTCTTTATATAGTTTAGAAATCCCTACAATTGGACAGCATAAACCTGTGCCGTCCAGTTTGGTAGCCACTAGCCATGGGACTATTGACATTCCATATTTAAAATACTTAGGATCACATAAAATTAAGAACGCAAACGCAGTGCATCACACCAGCTATATACTCAGCGTTCAGCAGCCACGTGTGGCTAGCAGCTTCCCACCCACACGCTGCAGACAGAAGTCACTTCTATCAGCACTGAAATTTCTACTAAACTGTGCTGTATCTAAATCATGGAGCAACCAACAAGTATTTCTAAAGCACAAAGTAATCAATGTATATTTAATATGAAATGGTACCTACAGAAGAAATTTGAATTTTTTAAAAAATTATTTCCTAATAACTCAAGAGCTTTGTTGAAATATGGTGGGGGATGGACACTAGTATTAGCCTCCGTCCTTTAGGTGCACAAAGTCCACAACCATTCCCACAGAGGAAAGGCCCTTGAAAACTCCATTTACTAGGAAGATACTCTTGTTTTAAAAAATGCCCTCTGAGTGTAATTCTATAGGCTTAATCAGTATTTACATAATCTGACCAGCATCTTCCTGGATTACAACCAGAACCACATATTACAAACTTGGCAAATGCTATTCAAAGCTGGCAAACAATAATTCATTGACTCCTTGGAAGTTGAGGGATAAAAAGTTCCGTTTACTGTAAGTTAACTGTGGTGAGGAAATCAGCCCAACATCGTTAGACAACATAATTAGCACCTCCCCCCTAACAAGCATTGCTTGCTCCTAGACCACTGACTCTAGAGGCAAAACCTCTCCTGGGAAGCGCAAGGCTTACTTTTCAACATTAACGGGAACCATAACTCAAAGCTGAAGGAGCAGGTCCTAAATCTGTGACAAGCACTCCCTGGGGAAGGAGGTTTTCATATTCAGTTTAGTTTCCAGGCCAGCC